CAAAACTGCCTAGTGAAAATTGCTCCAAGGTTTCATAAATCACTGTACACCACTTGTCAGCATGCTTGTTAGAAAATTTCAAAGAAATTTGGGTGTTGGCAGATATTTCACTGCATCAGGCAACCCTCTGGACTGGAAGGAAAAGATTTATATATTTTTTGTTTTCTACTATAGTCGTTGTCCTCAAGGGTTAGATTGTGTCAACAAAAAGCTGCACAGTTCATTCTGTAGGTGCCCTTGATGCAAACAGGGAAAGACATTTTAGCTTGCCTAACAGATTCTCAGAAATTAGTGCTTTAATCTCAGTGTGGCTTACATCTATACAACTGTACAGTAACAAATTCTCTGTGAGGACTTTTTTTTTGTTCTTACGAGGTATGCCCTGGACCGTATGAAATGATCTAAGCAATGAAACGACACATTATAGTGGTTGTTATGGAGACAGGGATCTGGAGAAGGTATGACATATGTGGCCAGTGGACACCTACTCCCCAGAGGACCAGCAAGCAGAAGAGATGACCTCTGTGTCAGAGGGTTAGACCACTTGGTCAAGGATTCCAAAGCCCACAGAGAAAGATGCAATGCAGCAATTCAGATATGCTGCAGGGCCTTAATAGAGGCGCAGCACCACATGTATAAATCAGCAGGCCAGAATGGTATATTCAAACGGCTGGATGCCTTATTTTGGAAATAAATTATTAAAATGCCTGGTTGGTGAAGCTGAGACTGCGGCTTGTTGTTTTGTGAATAATGACCTGCAGGACTGCAGCTATATTACTGCAGAGACTGGCGGCAGGTCGAAGGAAACGCAGGAGAAACGTCTATGTAAAATGTAAAAAGTAACATTATAAATCAATCAAACATGAAACAATATATACATATATAAGCGTGGCTTCGCTTAAAATGCCAGGTAGCTACAATAAAATGTAGAATTCATGAGTATCGTTCAGGCAAACTGTCTTTGGTTGGTTTGGTTTTAAATAATTCCTCATCATTTAAGACTATAACTGGCGTCGTTTATAAATCATACCTTGATTGCAGATCTATACCATTCAACGCCAAGTAAGAGGGTAAGGATTATCACATAGGCGGCTACATGAAAGCTGCAATTTTTTCTGCCGAATTACATAACCGTATAGTGAGTGCAACATGGGCCGATCCGCAAAATGCCAGACGTTTGCTGAGCCGCACATTGTCGGCCCCCCCGGTGAGGGTCGCGGACGCCCCGTACACCTCCAAGGAAAGAAGCTCACCTGTCCCTTAACCAGGCTCGCCGCGAACTGCCTCATTACCGCCTCTACCGTGTAGGCGCTGGACCAGCCACGGGGTGTTAACAGTTCCATGCAGATGGCACCTCCATCCAGGACGTAGCCGTTCTCCAGTCTGGGTGTGAGCACCCGCATGAAGGGCGGCGAGAAAGGGAAATTGTCGGGGAAAGATACGTTGAGCAGGATGTACTCGGTGTTGGTCTCCTTCATGTCCTGCCACAGGGCAGAATCCTTGTCCACCTGGTGCAGCTTCACATTCCAGTCAAATAGGTTGTCATCGGCCAGCTCCACCGTGATGAAGTTGTCCCCCAACCGCTTGATCTCCTGCAGTTCCTTCATCAGCCTCCTGGTCCGGACCTGGGTGCAGTGCTGCCGGTGCGGGGCCAGCGGTGGCAGCGAGCCGCCGGAGCTCTTACCGCCCCCCGCTTGTTTCTCCTTCACGTCCTTGCCTTGCTTCCCCGACGTGTCCTTGCTCGGCTGCTCCGATCGCTTCGCCTTTATTTCGGGCGTGTTGAGGATGTTGCTTTCGCTGCTCGTGTTGCAGTGCTTCATGTTGTTCTTCTGGTTCCCCTTGGTGCCCTTGAAGGAGCCCTGGTGGTGGTGGTGCTTCGGGTCCTCCGTGTCTCGGTCGTGCAGGCGGATGAGACCGATTTTGCGGAGCAGCGTGGCCATTATTATTCCAATCGGTATGCAGACAGAAAACAATTATAAAAAATAAGGCTGGTGTTATAAATGAACACGGGAAAGCGGACACTATCCACCTACTGCAGCCCCACAAGAATGGCGATTTGCAATCGCATGAATTCAATGCATGGCGTCTAGGACGTCAAGATAAAAACACAAAAGCCATTAGACTTAGGGGGAAATAGGCACGGTGACCGGGGCGTCTCTTCATACACAGATCTCCCGCAGGATAAATGAGTTAAATCTAGCAGATGCGTGCGGTTCTCCTGCCGGGGAGCCGTAATTCTCCGTCCTGCGTCGCTGCAGCTTTGACAGCTCAGCTCGGTACTGCAGACACGCTTTATCTGCCGACTCTGATCCACTTATTTTTTTTCTCCACACAGCTTGCAGATTTAAACCTTAAAATCGAAACAGGTTGCTGTCGTTCCAGATATTTATACCCTTTCCCTTGGTAAGTCACACCTTAGTCCACCGTGATCATGCGTTTTTATATCAACTATAGCCCGCTTGATCCTGCCCCTTGTATTTTATCCCGCAGTCGGTTACCATGTATCCACACATGCAACAAAAAGAAGAAAAGAAAAAAAAAAGAAATTAAAAATGTAAGAAAGCGGCTCCGAGGGCTGCCGCGAGCGTCTGGGCGCTTAATCCGAAGAGAGGAGGCGATCGGGCTTCGCGAAGAGCCGTTTGATGTGAGCGAAGGCTGCCGGGCTCCGACACTGGGAGCCGCTCGCAATGCGCCGGACTGATAATCCTCAGCGAGAAGAGACGCCGGTACCTGGCCAGAATGAATAAACACACACAGACACACATGCGCGCGCGCGCGCGCACACACACACACACACACACACACACACACACACACACACACACACACACACAAAAAAGAATAATCTAGGCAAAACGTGGGCTGGCTCTCTACGGATCACTCGTCCATTTCCTATGAGCTACAATGCCTGCGATATATATTTATCTTTTTATTCTTTTTGGCGAATTCATTTAAACTCGTGTTGCACATCTAATAGGCGCCATAAATGTTAAGAATCTAATTAAACATTAGAGGTTAGTCATCGGTGTCGTGCGCATGTGTGCATACTGGGTTAGAAGCTCAGCATAACGCTTTCAGTCGTTTATTAATACGGCTAATTAATGGCATCGATACGTAAAATCTGCACCTAAGACTAAATGAATATGACAATAATTCTGCCACGTCTGTATTATTAATATGATGTAAGGCTGGCATCAACATCTTTGTGCAGATGCTCAATTACGTCATCTGCAAGATTCTGTTTCCTATAGTTCAAAAGTGAACTGTTAAAATAAAATGTGCACAACTAACAAACCTATATAGGCTACGGTGATATTCAACAAATAGCAACATTCAATAAATCGAAGAATAGTACAAAAATACATGGGGAAGTTTAAACCCTATGATACGTTTCAGCCAATAAAATTATACAATATGTACAGATCTATGTATATTCTGCATCTTTAATTCAGTAAGCAGTACTCTAAGCGGCTACATTCTTTCGTTAAATTATTACACGTTTGAAAAGCTTAATAATGAACTGTATATCGATAGCATATCCTGCTGAGACCCGACCTATTCATTTATGTCCATTGTCGTGGACATTGTATTTTTGCACTTATTTTTTCACTGATGTTGGGAAACGTATTTATTCTTGTTGTGCACTAAAGAGGACATGCTGTGAAATTAAAATAAGAATACATTTGAAAAAAACTAAATTGTAAGATGTCTTATTTCCTCCAAAGACAAATAACCTACAACTGAAGGACACTTTTTTCCTTGGGTCTCAGGAGGATATAGTTCTCTAGCATCCTGCTTACTACAAAATATTTTCTTACGAATAGCTTGGAGAAAGTAAACACTGCAGCTGAAGTAAATAGGCTACCCTTGTAATTCATAATATGAAAATAGCAAAATACGTATCATTACTGCGATACCACAATCGAGTTAGTTCAAAGTTAGACGGTGCAGTTTACTGACTGCACGCATGGTCTCCGAGGTTAAGCCCACCTCCTGTACACTAGATCCTCCTATTCGTTATGTTTATTCGGCTTCCATGTACCTGTAATGCCATAAACCCTAGATAATTGGTTACTGAAGACTTTCCCCAGATTCAAGAGTAAAACTACATTAAATTAAAATAGGTCTATATGTAAACTGCGTTGTATATGAATCACATGGTTTCGCATCAAGATATTGGTTTTGTAAATTTGGATGCTGGTGACTAGTGTTGTGATGCCAAATAGCTACCACAATGACATATAAAAGTCGTAATGGGAACATTCGGGCGTCATCGCCACGTAGTGAACGACAATGACCAAAATGTATTGAAAACGTTGAAATGTTTGACATGGGACAGCTGACGCCCTTAGGCAGTTTACCTTAGCCTACCTGTTAGCTTAGTTCTGTGCCACAAGGGCGGTAGACTGTAGGCCTACATTAATAATCCTATAAAAATATGGAAACAATACAGCACAATCTAGATGTTAAGCTGTAATAAGCCTAATGCAACCATTCTTCAACATCCTACTGCAATGCCGTGAATTACAATTTTGAAGGTAAATTGGTTAGAAAGCTTAGATTAATTTTCTTACATTTTTGGGCAGTTCATGTTAAACCGATCATACATGTCATAATGAAGTATATGACAAGCATATTCTACATAAGTACTCAGTACTGAGAATAACTGTAACCAATGTCACTGTCCCGCCGAAGAAATTTGAACAATTAAATGATTTAAAGGCAATTAATACGCATACGTACAGGTTGTTTTGAGCCCTATACTAAACTTAGTAGGAGAGCTATTTGTAGCTGCTTAGTAACGGGAAGCAAAAAGTGACGCTTGTTCGAAGAGCTACGTATTAATGAGCGAGGAAACAAAAACCCCCAAACCACCAGTCACAGCAAGTGCTGTGAAATATATTCATGGAGAATCTCAGCAAGAACACCGACTTACGGCATCCTGTTGTACGTAATTGTTTCGTTGCTAAGGTAATCTAGTATCAGTGCCTATGATTGGTTAGTTTTCTGCCGGAAACCAGTTTCCGAGTATGGTAGCTGGCAAAGGTAGTTATGTTGTGTTGACAGTCTTTTGTGTTTTGGGTTGTATGTTTTATTTTTGTCGGTATTAGTTTTTTTGTGAGTGGTTTTGATTAATGATAGCATGGCCGAAAAATTTGATAACCTCGAGGAGCATCTGGAGAAATTTGTGGAAAATATTCGGCAGTTGGGAATCATCGTTAGCGACTTTCAGCCAAGCAGCCAGACGGGACTCAACCAGAAATTGTACGTTTATTGAAAATTAAACAGGTTGACTGGATTTCTGTATGCAATTACCAGACCGGGCCAACCATTTTCATTAAATCCTTCCTAGTTGTCAGTTCATGGATTGTTTGTTTATTTATTTGCATTTACAACCGGGAGAAAGCTTTAGCAATTGCTGCTAACGCCTTCTTTAATTTAGCAACCATGGTGGTTATACGTATGTTCGCTTGGTTTACTAGGATTGCAGGCTTACCAACTCTCACGAATCGGGCGTAAATCGCTTTCTGACTCTAAAGCTTACGCAAGAAATCTTACGGCAAATGTATATTATTCCATTTTAAGGCCCAATTCAGTTGCAAATTCAGCTTTGGGGTAGTTCGCAAACCTTACAGACTATTTGTAAGGTAACAAAACTGTTACATATACGTAAATGCGTGTGCAGACTTGTCTCGAATTGAAAATCTCACACCAGCCAGCTGAACCAAAGTGGGGAAAAGTGCGATTGTACTTATTTATCTAAACCGTCATGACAGGTTATGCGTCCGTACGCTTGTTGTAATAGGATTAGTATCGTCTGCGCGCTGAGGAATTGAATAGCTGGAACGGCTTGTTGTTTTTCAGGAATTTCATGATAACCGGATTGCAGGATATTGACAAATGTCGCCAGCAGCTGCATGATATCAACGTGCCTCTGGAAGCCTTCGAGTGAGTTTCCACAAAATTTCATTGAAGCAATCATACAGCCGGGAGATCCTGAATATCAACACTTGGGGCGGAAATGCCAGCATTCCGCCTGATGTCATTTGAATTCCGTGTTAACAAACATGCAGAACTTAACGATGATAATCTTTGACGTACATAACGTGATTTTGGCTCACAGATACATCGATCAAGGTCGAAATCCTCAGCTGTACACCAAGGAGTGTTTGGAAAGAGCCTTGGCAAAAAATGAGCAAGTGAAAGGCAAAATTGACACCATGACGGTAAGTCGGACAAAGCTTTCCAGCAGGAAGGATCAGGTGACTGCACAGCAACCAGTGGTTCTTATTCGTTTCCGTTTTGTGTAAATGCTGTGTTATACAATTCAATGAAGTTATAATAATAATAAAATGTCACCCAACTGGATATGGGTGTTAGCGGCTTAAAATTTCTGAGAGGGAAAAGTTTAAGGAGAGTGGAAAATGCTTCTTATTCAGTATTGATGTTTATTTTATAAGCCAGCACACATTTGCTTTAGTAGTGTTACATCAGCGGTGGCCAATCTTATCCGCAAAGGGCCGGTGTGTGTGCAGGTTTTTGGGGTAACCTTTAGGTCAGCTGTTCAACCCCAGGTGTGAGGACTCCTCAGCCAATCAGTCCTCTAATTAGTAATATAATTAGGTAGCTGCAACGAAAACCCACACACACATAGGGGCCCTTTGCTGATAATATTATCCACCCCTGTGTTACATGGTCAGACTCCTCCCTGCCCCCACCCTAAGTGAGTTCCTCTCCTCTCTCGTCTCGTCTCACTTATTCTGCCTACACAGTGTACTGCGTGAGTTCATCTGTGTATCAATGGCTGGAACAGCAATGGCAGAAAGGGCGCTCTTTAAGATGAGCTGAAATTGAAAATGATTCTCTTACATTTTCTTGCAGAAATTTAAAAGTCTTCTGATTTCTGAGCTGGCAAAGGTTTTCCCAGAGGAGATGGCGAAGTACAAAGCGATTCATGGGGACGACCCCCCCACGTAGTGGCCAAAACACCCCCAAACCTCCAGTGTACAGCTGTGAATGTACTTTATTATTTTTTATAAATCCAGAATGCCATGGTTTTGTTTTTTTGATAATTACAATTTTTTTTAAATGTCCTAAAATATTCTTAATAAATAAACTGAATTGCAGTCATGGTGTGTGAGTAAAGCCAGTCTTTTTTATAGAAAAAAATGACCTTGGGTTTCAAATCATTGTTTAAACTTTTCTTTCTCTCACTTTGATAAAACTGTCTGACTCTGCATGCTTAGCATTGATAAATGTCACGAGGTTCTTAACCACAACACCACCTGCCGCTTAAATGACTCTAACTACACTGATTGGTATATGCATGGTGCAATTAAAGTCTTTAATATGCCAGAATATACTATCGCTTACACCATATATACCCAAAAAACACATATACACGCATACAAAACTTGCTGCACAAAACTAAAAGAAATCTGGATCAAATTTGACAATGCTGCTTTACCCAAATTTAGGTATGTTAAATCTGGAACTGTGCACTGGTACATTTTTGATTACGCAAAGGAAAATAAAGGTTATTTTTAGTTAAAGTTAGAGCCTCTACACAGTATAAATAGGACTGTTTTTTTTCCCCTTTCAGCTGACACATTCATCGAAAGTGACATAATTTTGCACCTTTATACAACAGGGCATTGTGATGTTGTGGTTAAATTCTGAATATAAGTGCAGATTTTCTGTAGAGGAGACTTTGTTTTGTTTACTATTTGAGGGCTTCACATTAAGACTAGTGGTTTGCATGCCCCCCTGTTACATCTGGGCTGGGGTGGGGGGCATATTCTGGACAGTTTGTTTACATTTCTTCAGGACAGCTTTCTTATAATGACTGATTTACACTAGGAGAACATCAGTCCAAACCACAAACAGCTTCACCGCCTTTCCTCAGTGCTGTGCTACATGCTGTTAGAGATGAGCAGGTTTCTGAAGGAGGTATGAAAGGTTATGGTATGCTTTTTCTCAGAGGTTTGAATGCCAGCTTAACGCATCTGATATTTCGTGTAGACCTGCATTGCAGGGTTTGCTGTCAGGTTCATTATAAAGTTCATGAATCCACTGACACTGGATTCAACACAATATTTTATTCATGAAGTCAAGGTGCTGAAGGTACTGTCTGGTTGACAATCAAGTACGCTGCATGATAATTGAGTCTTAAGAATGAAAACCTGGGCCCTATTGAGCCAAGCGCTGTGCAATATTCAGTTATATGTTGTTTGCTAGACCTGTTGCTTGTGTGTGTTGAGTTTGATGGATGGATTCTCCAGTTGCAGCTTTTGTGGCCTTCAGATCCAGGTCACATTCACAAAACACCAGTAACATGGTAGAGAAACGCTCTATGTTTTCTTCATATGGCAGGATGAGTACATTGGATTCGTACATCCATTATTTAATGTATTAAAACATTTCATCCAATTAATTTCATCCAAGATAACCAAGTCTTACATACACATAATATTTCTGTCTGAAGATTTTTCAAAACGATTATTCCGCTTGTTATTTTTAGAAACAAATCAGCAGCAAAACAGCAAAATTACTTTTGCGTTTGCACCTGGCTGTTGGGGGACATGAGGAGGCCTCTGAACACACAGCTTTTGCCAGCATGCTGGTACAGAATAAAGATTTAAAGAATTAAAGAATTTGTTTTTAAAGCATTTGAAGAATGATACACGAATGAATAAGTAATAGATACGCTGTACATCTTATCTGTCTAGCTGCTGTGAGTCTTCAGCAAATTTTTGCAGGTTAGATATTAATTCTTAAAATCAGAAGACAGTAATGCAAATAAGATATAAGTACGATGTGAATTAATTCAGAAAAGTCTCCGCAGCAACTTTATAATACACTGAGCATCAAAAGAAACTTGTCAAACCCTTTTGCACAGCATTATCAAACTAAAAATGTTTGTAACAGGTTATTTATTTGACAACCAAGTCAACAAATGGCAATCTCACTACTGCCCTCAGTATCTGATATGACCTTCATGCACAGCTATTTAAACAGTGGATCTTGATCTCATACTTTGAATAAGGTTACCTATTACAGCCTGGGGTGTCCTGGCCTGCTCTTCCTGTAATGCCTGTACCAACATTTGTCCTTGAGTGGGACGTGGCATCCTGGAGGCTATGTGTCGGCCTAGAACATCCCACATGTGTTGAACAGGATTCAGGTCCGGTGAGTATGGTACCCAAGGCATTGTTCGGATATGCAGTCGCTGCTGATTCTCTAGTGTGAGCCGAGCTGCATGAGGAGGAGCGTTATCGTGTTGGGATGCGGTGACGTCTTGGTGCTGCTGCTGGGTCACGATATATCAGGGAGGATTCCCACCAAGACACAGGGTCAGCAAGAAGCCACAAAGAATTCTTAAAGCTGATTACCAGATGATACCAAAATTGCATATTGGTCTCCATAAACTCTGCCAACGATTCAAATCTCAATCAACCATGACCAGGTGACTGACTCTTAGTACTTACCTTAAATTACTTTAGGGTAATATGCCTCATGAGGCAGCATAGTGCTTAGCGCTGTTGTCTTACTCTCCTGGCCCCGGGTTCGAGTCTCCATCATGGTTCCATGTGTGTGGAATTTGTATGTTCTTGCCGTGTTGTCATGGGGTTTCCTCCGGGTACTCTAGTTTCTCCATGCTGTCCAAAACCATGCTGGGGTTGCTTGGAGTAAACAAATTACCTGTAGGTAATTACCTGTGGTGTGTGAGTGTGTCCTGCAGTGGGTTGAAGCCCCATCCTGAGTTATTCCTTGCCTTGTGGCAATAGGCTCTGGACCCCTGCGATCCTGAATATGACAAGCAGTTACAGGAAATGGTTGGGTGGATGGATAATATATCAAATCACAGCAACTGGAAACTACCTCAATGAAAACCTGGCTCAGGATATATTTCATGATTTTATTTTATTTTCAGTCATCTGCCTCATCACGTGATAAAGGTTATGTTCTGATGTCCAGAGGAATTCTAGACATGTTGAACATTTGCAAGCTATTGGTAATACAGAGACAAGTTTCTGAAGGTGAATTTCCATAACTAAAATAACAGAACCATTTTTAATGAAAATGTTTTCTGAAATTCCACAAAAAGTCATGTCAGAACTGGTTGACAGGGCATCATGTTCCCGCTTTGGCGTTTGTGTAGGCGGATCCCTCATGTCATCACGGATGCAGTGCGTGTTTTCCGGCCCCCCTCTCCCACTCAGCTTTGGTTTGCTCTCAGGGTGCCTCCTTGCTAGTGTCCCAGTCTTAACATTATGAAAAAGGCACCCATCTGGCATGATCTAAGTGCACGTGTTAGATAGGTGAATCAGGTGGCCACTGCAGTACCGTGAGCTGCGTGTGAAGTTCTCTCTCCTCCGTGTGCTGTCATGAAGATCGCCCCCAACGCAGACCTTCCTAACCGTTACCTTGGTTACCTGCTCCTTCCATTGTGACACGTCCTCCTGTTTGTAGCTCCCGTCAGGATGAGTAATATCTGACAAGCTTGGAGCTTCTCTGAGATTAAAGGCGGCCCGTCTGCCCTTACCGTTCGGTCTGTACTCCATCCCGGTTTCCCACCTTCTGATCGCTGCATGGAGAGGTTGAATGACGCGAGCTTTACAACAAAGCCCCAGTCAACGCTGGTGTTCTGCACGAAACCTTTGTTTACTAGCTGCCTTTCCTTCCAGTTTTATTATTTTTTGGGAGAGCTGCTCATCTGTACTCCAGCAGCATCGGAATGAGCCAGAAGCCATCCAGAGTTCCTACCGGAAACCTAATCTGTGTATTAATTTGATTTTGTGCTTTTCAGGAAAACACCTACTCAGCCCTTAGGGATCCAGCCTGCCTTTGATTGTACATCTGAGGCCACCATTTCTCTCATATGTAGAGGCACAATATTTTAATAACGTCTTTGTAATGCTAATTCTGAACACAGATATAAGATCCAGTTCCTGGGTGCTTTTATGGCTTGGGGAGGGGGGTGGATTCAGAGCTTGACCCCTTGGTACTCTGTCATCATGGTTACCATGGTTACCCCCTCCCTCAAGAGAAGGAAGAGTGCGGGCAATCAGAGGAAGTCCTGACATGGCTCTCATCAGGGTCTGGACAGTGAGAGCAAGGCTGGCGGTGTCGTGCATCCTCGAGCGCTGCTCCAGTCACAGTCACTTTCTGACCCAATAATCAACCTTGAAGCGTTTCTGTAAGACGCCATACAATGTAGTCGGCAATAAGAGAGTGCGACCAATGCAGGGAGTTGGACCCACATCCCAGGTCATCGGTTGTGTTCTGCTGAAGCTTCTCTTGCTCTCAAGAACCTTAGACAATGGGCTACATGGTGTGGCACACTTGTCTGAGGGGCACAGAGCCCAATCCTTCATGACCGGAACCACATTCTTTCAGTATCTTTATCGAGCAATCCAAATGATTTCCCTGTCATTTTCAGTACTGCTCCAGTAATTAATGCTTTTGTAAAAGGTTTATAAATGTACGTGCAGATATTTAAAAAAACCTTTCTTTTGATGTTTACAGAGGTGCAAGTCAACTTATGACCATTCGCTCTGAGGGATGCTGGTTCAGTTTCCATGGAGATAGACGGGAATCTCTTGTTCTCTTTTCTTGTTGGAATAGAGGCTTAACGCAGGAATTCGGGCCAAGGATTTCACCAGAGAGCTTTTAATAATCATCCCCCCGGTAACTGAGGTTCTGCCATCCCATAAGCGGAGCCACATCTGCTGGGTGTTAGCGCATGCTAATTCAAAATGATGCATCACCTTGTAAAAGTCTTGAGTCTTCGTGCTGGCCGCGCATTCGCTGGGGACGGTCATGTGACTATCATGCGGGAAATCAGTACATTATTCTGTTTATCACCACTGGCCGCATACAGTACTAATTTTTTTGTCGTGGGGGGGGGTTTGTCACGTGTGTCAGGGATCATAAACAGATTTACTACATCAGCTTTATGGTGACAAGGCCATAGCGAAAACGCAGAGCGAGTTCCTTTGTCTCCAATAGGTTTAAATGTCCCTTTGTTGATAAAATGCGGATTTTACACGTGTTTTTCCTGCCGGCTCGCGTGACCATGGACGCACATTTTTCTTTTGACAAGTCGAATCATTTAATTTAAGTCTGAC